TGACAGTAAGACATTAGGATAGATGCTGTCTGTGTTGTTGTTAATATTATAATTAGTATTAACAACAACACCTATATAAATCCAGGTGCTGTTGTTGTCTTTAAAAATAGAAAATGCTCTCCATGTAGATTTTTCGGGCGGTCAGTAATGTGATGCGGTGTGATGTATAATGTGTTTTCCTTTGGCAGGCACTCAGCAACAAAAGCCAGCACAGCATCTCCTACACACTGTCACGGAGCCACTCTGTAATTGTGGAGTACACCCATGACACCAACACAGATATGTTTCAGGTCAGTGTCTACACACACACACACACACACACACACACACACACACACACACACACAAACGTGTGTGGTTGCCAATTCAACATTTTAGTTTTGTTTCCTGTTGTAGAAAAAAAGGACACTGGAAAGTAAAAAATCGTGTAAAATATTGTAACAACGCACCACAAACAGAAGACAGAACCACTGAACACTGGTCGGGGTGAAATCTGTTAACTGTTGAACACATACCCTTAGATAGTCTTAGCTCAAGGAAGAATACGAAAAGGAAAATAGTAACTCTAAAAACATAAACTGAAATTTGATGATATTCATTTAAACTTGGATCTTTCATACCAAGTAACAATATGACAAATCAAAGGATTATCGAGGTTTAATAATGGCTACAAGCCTTTATTCAAGCTTATTTATGTCTCTCAGGATGAAAAGGTTTAAAGATGACAATATTCTCCAATGTTCTTTGTCACTGATTGACCTAAATATCATATATTTACAAAATTAAACTAATATTTTTTGTTTTTTCTGCTTCAGACTTTAAAGCAATTGTTATAGATCAACATTAAGCTATGAAACCAGCAACAATTGTTTTCCAGTCTGCAGTCAGACCTGTTTGCCCTCAGCAGCTTGCAGTTGTTTTCCAGCCACCTTCTCTTATGAAGAAGACAAAGCCAGGGCTCCACTGATCTCTATTTAAGGGTCAGATCCATGAGTGGATTTTGGGTCGAGTCCCTGCTCCTTCTGGATGATACACAAAAAAAGTCTGCATGTTTTACAGGGACCTTTTGTTTGGTACAGCCTGGTTCCAGTAACTATTAAAAATACTGTTTCTGTCACACATTGTTCTTTTTATAATTAAAATATACATTTTGTTTGGTAGCTCTCACTTTGTTGATAATCAAAATGCAGCACCACATAGTAAACACAGAGGCGTGTCCGTTGTACATGGACTTGATTGGTTCTCATGTGGTGCTTTTCTACTCAGAGCAGTCAAAGTGAAATCACCAACACACATAAGTGTTGTACTATTTTACGTATTTGGTCAAATGTTACTGAAAACTGGCTTCTGCTGTTCAAAACGTATGGAGCGATTTTTATTGGTTAATCCAGGTTTCACCATTTTTCAGATTAATAATCGTTATGCTGGTGTTACACTTTCCACATCTGCCTGGCAACTAAGCAAATCAATTCAGTCTTACTATTATTATAGGGCCAGATCCTTTACACAGTGAGGTCTATAAAGTTTTACTAAAAAATCACACAGCTGACAAAAACTGAAGAAAAAAAAAATCAACTGGAACATGTGATTATCTTCAAGAGGATTCTTCACTGGACTGATGCTTTATACAAATAATTGCACATATTTCTAAAACTGCACTGGACTGTTTGACTCAGCGTGTCTTTGTGATGGTCTTAGTGATCGCTCTCTCTCGGTTCTCTCAGATTGGCCGGTCCACAGAAAGCATGATTGATTTTGTGGTGACAGACACAGCAGGCAGCAGTGGTCAAGTCGGGGGTGCGGTGGGGGAAGGCGGAGGCCAATCAGTCCAGAGCACCATCTCACGATACGCCTGCCGCATCATGTGTGAGCGCAGCGCTCCCTACACCGCTCGCATCTACGCCGCTGGCTTTGACTCTTCCAAGAACATCTTCCTGGGGGTGAGTGTTCCCTCCCACGTGGGTGACAGGCATCGCTTGGTACGCGCCACCGGTAGCCATAGCAACCACGGTAGTTTGACAGAAGGGATGTGGTTGTTCCACCCACGTGTGACATCAGAGCTGCAAGAATGCATGTCTGTTCATGTGATGGAGCTGCATGAAAACGTGAAGGGGTGTGTGTGTGTGTGTGTGTGTGTGTGTGTGTGTGTGTGTGTGTGTGTGTGTGTGTGTGTGTGTG